AATTATTTCACACAGCTGGCACAATAATGCTCCTGAAATACAGAATGAAAGGATAGGAGGTGGAGCTATGGAGTACCTTAAGTATGTGTGCGTCTGTCTCAGTGATTATAAGGATACAGTGCAGCAGATGTATGTTTGAGAGGGAGAAAGAAAGTGTGTGTGTTTCATTACCCGACAGTCAGGTTCCTCACCTCTCTCCTCTCCTCTGGTCTCTCAGCAGAGCAGTAATTTCTCTCTGTCAGTCAGTCAGTGTTTGGGGAAATGATAGTGGGTTTTAAAGAAAGAGCGGCTTTGTTTGGGCAGAAGCAAGCAAGAATAGCACTGTTTCCTTTCATCACTGTGCTTTTATTGTCACCTCTTAACATTTCCCTCTATCAACCTTCTCTCCTTTTGTCCTTTCCTTTCTTTCTCCTCATTCCCGCTTTTTCCTTTTCTCCTTTTCATTCCAGTCCTTGCCTGTTCCCACCCCAGCACTCTCTTTTCGTCCCCCAATCTCGTTCTGTTTCCCCCTCCCTAGATTGAGGTAGCGTGTTATTAGTAAGGCAGCCAATGTGCCTGTCGGCGTGTGTTAGAGAGAGATAAGCACAGGTAGAGAGAGTTACATAAGCCTCTGTTGATTACTGTGGAGGGGAGGGAGAGCAGAAAAGGAGAGTGAGAAGAAGAGAGAGAGAGAGACAGATTGCTGTACCTTAGTAAGTACATTGTGCTCTAATGTTGCCTGTATGGCTGGCTGGTGGTTGATAAGTAGCCTTGGCTTCTGGGGCTGGTTGAAAAGACAGTCATTAGGTTGGACTCCCTAGACTGGTGGCTTGTTTCACAGATTGCAAGTTTGTTTTTGTTATAATGTTTAACAGGAGAAAAATAAACCTTCTCAAAGTTTACTATGCTAATGTGGCATGAGAGAGTGGTAATAAAAACTGTCTGAGCAGATTCATGGAGCAGATTTTCCTTTTAAAACTTTTTTGTATTAATTTAATCTACAAGTAGTTTTTGAAATACCTGGATAATATTTAACAGGAAATCAACAACTAGTTCCTCCTACTGACAAGTGCTGCCTATATAGCAAAAGCCTTATATACCATAGCTGATGTCTATGTGCCATTGAGCTCCACTGTTAAAACACATCAGTGAGCTACACTGTTGCACTGGGTAACGTTCCTTTATCACAAAAAACATGAGCAGTGCAGTTTGGACAAACACTGTCCAATTTGTATTAATCTGCAGATAAAAATAGTCCCCATAAATTGCACCTTTTAATCCTGTGGCTAAAAATTATAGCTCCCAGCTGTTTTAGGTAAACTGCTTCTCCGTTTAAAAAATAAACTGCTTATTTATGAGCCATTTGTAAGTCAAGTCGTTTTATGTTCTATCAGTGCTTTGATTTGATGTGACATCTTCAGAACACAAACCTAAACACAGTCATGGAGATTTTGAGACACTGATGTGATGTCTGGTGAACTGTATGATAGAAAGACAGATTCACTGTGAGGTGCAGTGTGAGCTGATAATTAGAATAAGCAAAGGAATAATTATTTAACAAACCTAAATTAGCCAAAGAAAAAAAAAAAATAGTCGGGCAAAATGGGCAAAACAATGTTGATCAGCGATGTCTTCACTGACCACACATGCAGTATATAGTATCACAAACTTTGTCCATCTCTCAGTTAGTTCACGTTTCACACCAACAACAGATATTGCTCTTTTAAAGTCCCACTGATCCAGATCTTCCCATCTAGTGAAACTAAACATCAGACAAAGAACTAAACTGAGCCAAAGAACATGCATTTTGTCACAGTACCTCAACTCTCAGTAGTTTCAAATGTTGAGCAAATGGATTATATTATTGCCCCAGACCACCGTAGTATGTGTGTGTGACACTAGCCCATAGGCACAAATACACACAATTGGTCACAGATGATCACACATGTGCACACACACTGTGAAACTATGAGTGATGGGGTCAGCTGCCACTTCACCTCTGCCACCTTCTTACAGTGCTGCTGTACAAACTCAAGGACAAGAGAAGCCGGCACACACTTAAAAGTACTGAAATGTTCGATCTCTGTCACATATATGGACATACAGTACGCACTCAGCAATCCAGTCAAACCATTGCAAATGGTCATGGATGTCTGTTCTCTTTTCACACTTTGTCCTCACTAGCATCTCTTCACGTTATCACTTAAGTACTGTATGTACTTGCATGTGTGTGTTTATGCTGTGCTTTCATCTGTATGCCTTGCCAAACATTTGTCTAGGACCCCTCCAGCAAAAACCTGCTGAGGAGCAGCTCAAGGCCAAACAAGTGTCAGGATTAAAGAGCAAATACAGTCCTGGCTTCTCCCTTCTCCTCTCGGTAGTGAATGAGCAGTGCTCTCCTCTTCCTTAATTACAGCTGAGGGGCCCTTGAGCAAGGCTTTTGGATTTGCTAAGCGCCTCAGTAGCAGATTGTTGTGAAAATGGGCAGGTTATCAAGAAGCAGCATGGACTTGGAAACATTTTAATGTATACTAAATGTACACATCTAACAAACTACAAATATCCATTACCAGTGATTGTTACTTATCATTCAAAAACAGCCCTCCCTGAAGACACAGCAGTGACCACCCCCACCGCCACCTTCACATACACAACATTCATGGCAACTACAGTAGTAAATGAAGAAACTCATTGGGACAGTATTGGTTGTTGTTTGCACAGTGTAGATCCCATTAGAGTTGATATTTTTCTGCTTCTGACAAGCTAATTAAAATGTACAGGTACAGGGCTGGCACAAGAGGAGGTAAGGGAGGGGAAATTATAAAAACCTGTCAAGGGAGAGGGAGCCAGAAAAGTAAAAATGAGAATAAAACAGAATAATTTACACTGAATCGGACTTAATGAGATCATTCTGCAGGCGTTAAGAAAAATGCTGTGGTTCAGGTCTATGCATAGCACTGTGTGTGTGGTCAGACAGATGATTTAGAGCCAAAACCTTAGGGTCAGGGCTTTTGGTATTCAATCTTGACAAAAAGATATGTTTGTATAAGAAAAGAGTAAATGAGTTTAAACAGTTAATGCCCACTGAAAATGCTTCCAGTGCAAATTAGTGACTTAATTTCTTTTTGTTTAAAAAGGTAAAATTTCTGTTTGTGCTGCAAATGGCATTTTAAAAATCTGACTTTCAGCCATATTTGTTCATTATACCATCTTGTTTTAAAATCTAGTGTTTTTGATAATACAAATAAAATCAGTAGATTTAGATATTTTGTAAATAAAATCTGACTTTCAGCCATATTTGTGCATTATACCATCTTGTTTTACAATCCAGTGTTTTTGATAATACAAATGAAATCAGTAGATTTAGATATTTTGTAAAAACAAGCAAAAAATAAGCTTGAGCTAAAAGTCTCTTAATTGTATGCCCAAATACCAAACCAGTAAGGAGATTTTTCATGAATCATTGATTTTCAAAGAGTGCCTTATTATGTTGCAGCTTGTCTGGAAAGTAAATAACCTTGTGGTGCCTGTGTCCTGGAGAGAGAAAAAGAACAAAAAGGGGAATGAGATGGTCAAGGTTCTTCTCCAAATAAGAATTCAGGGGAGCGAGTAGCATGAAACAAGCCAACAAGAGGCATAAAAAAAAGGATGGGGAGAGGGATGGCATGTACAAAAATGTGGAATAACAATAAGGAAGGCTTTTTATGTGTAAGGAAGAGACTGCACACAATGACGCTCAAACACAAAATTCCCTTCTTTCTCGCTACCTCTCTTTTATTCAGTCTCAGTCACACAGACATGCCTGTGTGCACACAGTATTATGTAAATAGTCTCTTCAGCAGAGTGCTGCTATCACTGAGTGAGCATCCTCTGGGCCATCTAGGCGGCCTCATTAAAACAAGGCACAGCATCCATTAATAGATACCAGTGCACAGACACACACATACAGTCAGAAACACACACAGAGCGTTCATAGTCATCAAGAAAGGACCTCCCAGGAAGCACGTCTCTAAATGTTCCTCTCAAGTGACAGTCAAAAAACATCTCCAAGGAAATGGCTCAAATGTCAGTGAGAACAATGCATGAAGAGTGTTTGTAGGGCTGACTGTGACTGGAGCCAGCATGAAGGAAGAATGGACTGTGTGGCTTCAAAGAGACTCAGGGCCAGTACCACAGTACAGCCCTCTCTGCCTGATCTACAGCTGCTCTGTGTGCTTCCCTTCCTGTTGTTCTGTCTCTCTCCAAATCTACTGTAAATTTTTATGTTTAATGCAGGTTTCATTTTAGAGTGGAGTGGGTGGGATCCGCAATTCGAATGCTCTTTGCATTTCTGCATACAATCGTTAGCTAAGTTCAACATGTCTGGCAAGTCTCAGTGAGATCAAGATCTCTTTTACAACCAAGACTGGAGAACAAATTATTATAAATTAAGGATAAACACTTTATTTGGCCAACTGTTATACACACACAAGGAATTTGTTTCCAGTACAGAACCAAGGCAGCCATCTGCGACGCCAACTTGGGTTCAGTGTCTTGCCCACTTCGACATGTGGACCACAGGCACCGTGATTTGAACCTCCAACCTACTGGTTGAGAGACAATCACTCCACCCACTGAACCACAGTCACCAAAACAGTTCACCACATGGTGATTTGATTGGTCGTCATCCTTTTTGTTATTACTTGTCCATAACAAGTAGAAACACTGTTTCAGGGAAACAGATTACATTTCTAGAGAAGATTACAGTTTTAGCACTTACCCACAGCTGACTGTGAATAATTGATTTATCAAGCTGTTTATCACCTTTCATTTTTAACCAAAATATAGGCATTTTGAAGTTGGTGATTTTTATGTTTTTACAATTCTACTATTTGATTTCAGAGTTTCCTGTCGTGCACAAATCTATTTGGGAACATTTTTTTTATATTATTTGAAAATAATTAGCCAAACAAGCAATGCACGCTATCTGTATATACTGTACATGTAAAGTAAAAGGGGCCCTGTTTGTTTGTGATTTGCTGGCCCCTCAGGTGGCTCCCGAGGTGTGGGCTTTATTCGCTTTGATAAGAGAATAGAAGCTGAAGAGGCCATCAAGGGCCTGAATGGACAGAAGCCATCAGGTGCCGCAGAGCCCATCACGGTCAAATTTGCCAACAACCCCAGCCAGAAGACCAGCCAAGCCCTTCTGTCACAACTCTACCAGTCCCCCAGTCGCCGATACCCAGGCCCACTCCACCACCAGGCTCAGAGGTTCAGGTGAGTACCAGTGTGGGTCATTGAAATTACCAAGGAGAAGGAGGTGGGGCAGAGAAGAGACAGGACAGGGTGGGAAAGGTTTAAGGTAGTGTAGTCACAGCATGGAAATTAAATATCATCACAATGTTTCAAATGTGTGCAGCCAGTACTGAGTTTCCCTACCTGGGCAGGTGAGTATAAGGTCCTCTGATATTCATTTGGCAACTCTGCCAACAGGCCTGAACAATATGAAATGACTGGCTACTCTGTTGGGTGAACAG